TGCAGATTTCAGAGAGATATCTGGGACTGTGTCTTCCTAGAGAGACTGATGGTCTGCTGTCAGGGTGGTTGCAGCTGTACACCACAGCTTTATCTTGCTCTCAGCCTTCCCTGAGCCTCACACCAAAACTTTTAGTGCCCTTCATGAAGAACAGCATTTGCTGCTGATACAACCAAAAAAAAAAAAAAAAAAAACCAACCCAACCCACTTTAAAAACCTTTCTAGAGGTTTCTGGCTCTGTATGCTGCTTCCTTACAGAGGTAAGGGGTAACGCTACGTTTAAAAAGGCCATATCTCATGGTTGCTGCTTTAGAGGTGTAATACAGTGCAGACGTACTGTAGCACTAAGAAGAATTAGTCTTTCTTTAATTTTTTTTTTTTAATTAAAACGTGAAACTTCTGCAGGCTGAAATTAGGTGGATTCAGCATTATAGGGATTATTGCTGACAGGCACTTAGGATTGATTCAGCATTTCCCTTTGTTATGGGAGTTCACTAAAATACAAGTAAAGAGGTGCTGTGTAAGGCTCCCGGCTGGAAGCAGGTGTGAAGGGATCTCTTGGACCGAGCTGGGACAACAGCCACACATTTCTGACTAGGCTGGTCACCTTCATCAAGACTCCAGTGAACCACTTCTCTTAAACCTGAGCATTTATCAGCCCTAATCCCTTGCCAGAGATGTCACGATCTTTTTCCTTTTCTTTTTTTCAGGTGCAAAGGGCCTGGCAGAGGCGCAGATTTACTCCGGGGCTTCCTCAGTCCTCTTGACCATGTCTCCTAGGAGGGGGTGGTGGGATGCTGCCATGTTCTGGTGTGGTTTCCAGTGTGGCATCAGGCAAGGGCAGATGGCTGAAACGTGCTCCTGCAGAGCCCGCGCGTGTGCCAGCAGTGGGTCAGTGGGCGCATCTACCCTTGGGGCATGAAGACCACACCGGTGAGCCGTCCCACAGGCAAACCCTCTTGCTTCCTCCTTGTACCTGGTTGTGCCACAGAGCCCCTTGCAAGCATCGGCGGGATGCCTGTCATCTGCAACTTGTCCTTTCTGAGCTCTCTGAGCTGTGGGGGTGGTCATTTGACCACCTTTTTTGTTCCCTGCAGACTCCCCTGTGCTCTTTGTCCTGGCTGATGCGGCCCTGTCGTGCTCACAGATGGGGTGGGCAGGGGCTGATACAGCACCCAGTCCCAGGCAGGGCATGGACTGGGCCAGGCAGAGCCTGAGGGCCGGGTGGCAGAGGTCAGAAAAGGCAGGCAGAGCCCACAGCTCACCCCTACCCTCAGGGGAGCCAGAGCCTGGAGGGCGCTGCTGTAGGGGACTGCACCATCCTCAGAAATTAGCCTGGGAATTAATGCTGTCTGACAGAGGGATGGGTATGGCAAAATGAGCCTGCTTGCTTGCCACGGGGTACTGTACACCAGCAAGACAGACCAGGAGGCTGCCAAAGCCCATTTTCTTCCTCCATCCTGCCAGTGGTTCCTGTGTTGTCGCAGCCCTTCCAAGGGCTGTCCTCCTGCCCACGCCCTTGGAACTGCAGAGGAGCCGAAGACATGCAGGGTGTCACAGCGTCCAGGCATCTGCGGCCCCTCAGAGCCCTTCCTGGTGGCAGTGCCGACGGCTGCTTGAGGGTAAAGCCTCAGAGTCTCTGCTTCCCCACAGAATCAGTCCACGCCTGCTTTTGTCTCAAGAACATCGCCAAACACCATCCAATTCAACCTCACTTCTCCAATAAGCCCAAGCCTAGCAGGCATGTTATTACCACCTGAGACTCACTGAGAGAAGCTAATCCATGACTGCTGGGTGCAGCCCAGATGCACAGGCTCGGGGGGACACCTCTGTCCTGGCTGCTCCTTCTTACTGCTCCTTCCCCAATCACTCTGTAACATCTGCCATGGGAAAATTGCTCCTTGGAGCAAAGGCGCCTTTGCTCTAACCTAGGGTAAGGCTGTCCGTGTGCTTGAGTGGTGGCCATGGGAAGCTGTGTGGTGCCAGGGCGTCAGGGGGTACGGGATCTACAGCAAGCTGGAGCTCGCTGTTGGCGCAAAGGAGATGGATGCACACGCTTGTGCATGGGGCGACAGGGCTCTGCTGGAGAAGGGGGGTGTGCTGAGAGAGAAAGGGGAAAGAAATACTCATCTTCTAGCCTGGTAGGGACTAACAGCATCCGGGAGAGTAAAGAAACAGTCATCAAACACTGTTTTTTACCTGGCACTGTGGTATGCAGAGAGCCGCCCACAGACCCTCTGCCCCCAGCTATAGGAAAGAGGCTGAGACAACTGAAATTTCAGCATGGAAAATATGCCGTAGATGTGACCAAACAGGCGCCTCTTAGTAACGTGCAACGTGTGCTGGCTGCAAAACGTGGCTTGTTGAATGCTGAGGCAGGAGTGGTTGCGAAAGGTTAGTCTATTTGCTTCATACAGTCAGAGATTAACTGTTTACAGTTCTTTTTTTTCCAGCTGCACTTTTAAATGAAAACCCTCGTTGTTAATATTGTTTAATACCCATGAATATAGAACGCATTTTACAGAAATATCTGGGCTGCCTGTCCCTGCTGCAGAGGAGTTATGCATCTGGCAGGCAAAACAAAGCCCCAGCATGCCCCAGAAGCAGATGTCGGAGAGAATCAGGAAAAAGGAGAAATAGCTGTACTGGGAATTCAGGTCAGGCTCCCGGGTTCAGCCCTTTGCTTAACAGCAAAAGATGTACTTTCTTACATTATATTATCCCATAGACAAAGAATAAAAGACAAGGAGAACTTTAAGGAGCAGTAGGCAAAGTTCACCCCTTTTCCCCTGGCAGCTCAGCAGCTAACAGAGGTGACAGCAAGGCACACTGGAGTCATGCTGTGTCGGATGCCATGTGCTTGCTGAGAGGAGCTAAGAAAAGCAAGCACCGTTTGCAGCAGAGGTGAGCGGTATTGCACACCACTGAGGAGTTGTGCGCGGGTCTTAAAGCATCTCTGTACTCACCGCCAGCAACCAAAGCTGCCGAGTGGGTAAGGGGCAGAGAGACCCCAGGGCTGTTCTGCCAGGGAGCACTGCCGCAGAAAGGAAGGTGTCGAAACAGGTCATCGAACAAGAGCAGGGAAATGGTGGCACTTTAACCTGCACTGCTCAGCCACGCAAAAGGGCTTTTGACAGGGTTTTAGGAGCAGGAGGTGAAATACTTGTTTCCTGGATGTGTACTCCGGTAATGGGAAGTGGAAGCATGGTGGAGCTCACAGCTCACAGCCCCACGGGTGTCAAGCCCCAGGGCGCTCCTTCACAGGCTGTTTACTCTAGTTTTAATCTAGATTTACTCTAGGCACTGCTTGAAATTCGAGTCTCACCGACACAAAACCTTTCAGACTGAGCATGGCCTTATTTTACCTAGCACCCTGCCACCCATCTGGCATTGCAGCTACTACATCACCATGTAATGTCAAGCACGGCTGATGAGGAAGGGGCCAGGGCCATCCTGGACCACAGACCCTGCCTCTGCAGGGAAAACCTCCTGTGGGAGCTTTTCCACCTGCCTCCCATGCACACTGTGACTGTAAGAGGACTTTTGTGCAGGTGTGGCGTCTCAGGGCTGGGTGGGGGAACCCTGTAAGAACCGCAGAGCAAGACAATAAGGTGACCACAGGACAATGAGACAATGTACCCTGCTCAGTGCACGGAGTGCCTGTGACGGGGTAAGCAGAGCAGCAGTGCTGTGCTAGCTCACACCTATACCACACTCACCAACCACATCCTCTGTCTGCTCCTCTTTGCTTTTCCCTGGGCTCCCCGGTTGTACCCGATATCTGCCAGGGCCATGGGATATGCTAAGGAACCCCTTTGGTGGTGTCCTGGCCCCATGTCCCCCATCTCTGCCCAGCAGCTTTACCCTGCCCCACTGCCACTGTCTGCCCCACGGAGGCCCATTCCACCCTAACAGGGATGGAAGGGACCCTCCTGCCCCATCCTGGACACCCCCCTTGTCCTATCCCTCAGTGAGAGAAGGCTCCCGATCCATCATGCAGGGCTCTCAACATAGGTCCTGTAACGGGATGAGCCCATGTGCTGAAGATGCAGGCAGGGTTGCGCGCAGTGCCGGGTGCGGCTGCCAAATGTTTTTTTGTCTTGGTTCCTCTTTTCATAGACACCAAGGTGCAGACTCAGCAATGCAATCTCTCTCGTAGGCAGCCCCAGACTCCTCCACGGATGGCTGGGTGACTGAGATGGGCAGAGCAAGCCGAGGGTCTGCTGGCCACCGGGTCCCTGCTGTGTCCCACAGCTCACGGTACATACAGCCAGGTCCTGGCTTCAGCGTGCACCGTGCCAACACGCTGGGGATACATGCAATGCCTGGGCACGGTTGCACATGCCGTCCTTGGAGGACAGCTTCAGTGTGGGATCTGGGCAAGGGGAAGTCACTCAGGGCAGGAGGATATCCTCTGTCTCAGGTTTAGCCCTTCATTTCTGAGTGTGCT